TGTGCCTGCGCGCGGACGCCGCCTTCCCGAATCCCGGCCGCGCCCCCGAGCGTCCCAGGCTCGGATCTGCCCTCAATGCCCGCGGCTGTTTCTCTACCGCAAAGCCAACCCAGTCTTCCACCTCCCGCCCGCCTTAAGGCAGCAGCCAGGGAGAGGTGGCAGCAGCAGCAGCGTCCATTTATTAGGGGCGTATGGGGAGGGCGGGGTGACGCCGGCCATCAGAGGCGCCGGAAGAAGAGCTTGGCGCCACGGTCCAGTGTGCACATGCCGGGGTCCGGCTGGCTGGACAGCCGCTGGCGCAGGGCGGTCCGGTCCTCGCGGGAGAGGCGTTGGCTGCACAGCTGCAGCTCCTGCAGCTCCGCTGTTATCTTGTCCCAGAGGCCCAGGCCCAGGGGGCCCCGCACAGCACAGCCTGCAGGGGGAGGCGGAGCGGGCCTCAGAGCTGCTACGGCAGGGTGAAGCCGGGCAGCAGCAGGGGACAGTGTAGGCACCAGGGCACTCTCAAGCCTGTATCCTTCCTCTTTACCGACGTGGCCCTCAGAAAGATGACTTCCTCTGAGGCCCCAAGGGCTGTGGGGCGCTGCACAGACAGAAGCCCAGCAGAAGCCCCATAAAGCTCTAGGAGGGGTCATGTTCTCTGAGGGACCGCCTGGGACCTGGGCCCTCTCACAGCCAGGGGTCAGGAAGGAGGGAGGTTGCCTAACATAAACACTGCAGTCACATCTGTGCCTCTGACAGTGTCTTTGATGATACCTGGGTCTTTCCGTCCATAAAGTGGACACAATAGGGGCTGCCCAGGAGTTCAGTGCCTACTAAGCTCCCAAAGCTTGATCCTGAGGCCAGAGTGCCCGGTAGGCTCAGGGCTCCCAGGAGCTTGGTGAGGGTGTAGATGCCAGGAAGCTATGTGTGTGGAGAGCAGGCCCTCAACTGAGTGCCGATCTGCCACCAACCTGCCTTCATGGAGGAGCCAGCCTGGCCTGGCCCTGTGAGGCAAGGGTGAGGAGCAGGAATAACCCAGGGGCTCCCCATGTGTACACCCACTCCCAGCCTTTGTCCTCCTGGAGACAAAACCTGGTGCTCCCCCTGCCCCAGGCCCCAGCTGGATAAGCCAGGCTGCTGGCCTGGGGTCATCCCCAAGACAGCTCTGGTAGGGCACTGTGCAGGTGTGACCAGAATGACAAATTAAAGCAGGCCACAGGCCAGGGAGATATGGTCTGAGCATCCTATGGCAGGAACTGGGAAGGGAAGGCAGCTTCCACCTCTTACTTTGAGCTCCCTCTTCTTGACAATGGGGAGGAAGTCCCCTTGGAAGGGGTCTCCACGCCCTCTGCCATGGCCTCTGAGGACCAGGCTGAATGGGCCAGAGGCAGAGATCCCATGCCGCTCCTGCCCCATCATTGGAGGAACTGGGATCACACCCCCTTCCAGTCACTTGTCCCACACTTTAGCCTCAGGGGGCCCAGCCCACCCTTGCTGTCTGACTGGTGGCACTGACAGCCCCTTCGGAAGAGGTGCCCGGGCCTCAGGCAGGTCCCTGAGGAGGGATACATGTCACCAGCCCTGGTGTGGCAGGTGTAGACACCATCCCCAGAGCTCACCTGACAGGCCCAGGAAGCGCAAACCTTGGGGCCGCTCCTGGAGGGCGGACAGGAGCCCCTCCAGGCCCTCAGAGCCGATCTCTCGGTTGGCAGATAGGTCCAGCGAGACAAGTGAGGGGCAGAGAGGAAGACATCTGAGACAGAGAAAAAGTGAGGGGATCAGCTTCCCGGGAGGGAGATCCCCATCACCAGAGAAAGCTGCCCTGAAAAAATCATAGCTCTGGGAGCCACAGGCAAGGACCAGCAGGCTCTCCCCGGCCCGGCAGCGCCCCTCCAGGGCCATCAGGGCGCTGCCAGGGGCACCACGGGAAGGAAGTGGCCCACAACCCCCCAACTCTTAGTCCTTGGGATTAGGCCCCCCCTCAGGACAGTGGAAGCACAGGCAGGTGTTGTTACCTGCTTAGGTCTCCCACTGCCTCGCTGTCCAAGTGGTTTGCAGACAGGTTCAGGTGTGTCAGAGCACAGCCTTCCTAGACACAGCAGAGGCCCGAGACAGGTGAACTGAATGGAGTGCTTGCCCTCCCTGCATCCCAGTAGAGGCCCCACACAGTGGTAGCCAGACACTTTCCCTCTTTCTTGGGGACAAGGGGGCAAAGGCTGTCTTGGCCCCCGAGGCAGAGGGGAGCAGCACCTCTAAAATTGCAGATCAGACAGAGATGCTTCCTTCTACATGTGCCACATTTGGCGTATGGTGAAGTGAAAATCATGGGGACCCAGCCTTGGCTGGAAGAGCCCTCAGAAGCCTGGCATGCTCCCTGGGACCTGCCTGGGGACAGGGGAGGCCACCCTGGCTCCCGGATGCCCTTCCTGCAGGAATCCACAGCCTGAGGAATGCAGCTCGACAGAAAGCTTCCCCCACGGCTATTTCTGGGTCCTCCACCCCAACTTCACCTGTGGAACCTTTGGCCCAGGTGGCTCAAGGCTCCTGTGGCTTGACATCCATCCCCAATGCATACCTTGGTCAGGTACCTGACTATGGGCTCCATGAGGCCTGAGTCACTCTTGCTGGCCACCACGGAGCTGAGCTCCAAGCGCAGGAGGGTGTGGGCAGGCAGGCTCTGCAGGGTCTGAGCCAGGGCGGTGGCACCCAAGACATTGTAGGACAGTGACAGTGTCTTCAGGTGCTTGGCATCTGAACCGGGAGCCAGAACCTGTCAGTTCCACACAGCCACCACCCCTAGCCCTGCTACAGCCCTCATGACCCTTCTGGGGATGCTATCATCCCTGACGTTTTGTGTACAGGTAAACTGCCTAGGGTCCCGGCTAGGGAGCGGGTGGGCCGGACTCCTGAGCCACGATGGGACGCCCAGGTGCCTAAGTCAGGCCCTGGGCTTGGATGTGCGTGCCTCATCCGCTGCCCTAAGCCCAGACCCCTCCCCTGCTGCTGCTCTAAGTCCTGAACCTCATGTCCTAGCCTTCTGCCTCTGCAGAAGAGCCTCCTGGAGGACCCTCACTTCCCAGCTTCAATACTGGGACCCTAGCTCTCTGCAGCCCTGGTGCACTTATGTTGGAATCACCTCAGGCGAATAGAACACTCAGAGCTGGTGACAACAGTGTGACTGGGGTGCGTCCTGAGGGACAGCTGGGGCAGGGTGTGTACTGGGGGATGGCTCAGGCAAATGCAGCACCCGCACGTCTACCTACATGGGCCTAGATGCCAGGCTGGTATCCCAGGGCTCCTTTTGGTCAAGGCTCTTGGCATCCCCGGACACACCCTTCTGATGGCAACTGGGACCAGGGAATAGACATGCGGTCAGCTTACCTTGGAAGGCACTTCCCAGGGCTGCCTGGTGGCTCAAGAGGAAAGTGGAGCCAAAGCCACAGGCCTGGAGATGCAGGGTGCTGAGGGCGGGGCAGGCCTGCAGGATGGAGGCCAGGGCCTGGCTGCATCCATCCCCAAGGGGGTTCATGCTCAAGTCCAGCTCTTCCAGGTTCTGGGGAAGATACAGGCCTCCAGAAGGTCTGATGTCCTTGCCATCCCAGGCCTGAGCACCAGCTAGCACTCCCACCGCTCCTTCCCACCCAGTGCCTGATTAGATGAGAGTGTTCCGATGTCACCTGTTGCTGGCCTGCTGTTCTCCACATCTTTACCTGCAAGGTGATCTGCCCCTGGAGGCCTGTGGCCAGCTGGCGCAGGCCCTCAGGGCCCAGATGATTGGAAGAGAGGTCAAGGACGGTCAGGCTGGGCACAGTACCCAGGACAGCCAGCAGCTCGGTGGCACAGGCATCCCCCAGCCGGTTCCCTGCCAGGCGCAGCTCCCGGAGCGCAGAGTGCAGCTTGAGGGCCCACAGCAGGGGAGTGAGCTGAGCCTGGCGCAGGGCCAGGGAGCAAGCGCTGAACGAGGGGCCTAAGCTCTGGTGCTTCACGGCCTGCAGCACCTGCTGGTGTGGCTCTGGGTGGGGTAGGTATGCCATCAGGGCCAGAGCCTGCCTGCTCTGGTTCTGGGGGCAACCTAGGCACCCCCCGCCCGAGCCTGCTGCGAATCCTGGGGGCCCCTACACAGGCTGGTAGGCGGCACTGACCAGCCTGCCCTGCGAGGCCCTCCCCAATGGGACCCTGGCCTCCACTGGCCACCCCGCAGTTCAGCCTGAGGCCAACCCCTCAGCGTCCCTGGCAGCTCTCAGCAGTGCCAGACTTCCCGCCCAGGCCCAGCCCAGGGACCCCAGGTTCTATGGGCCCCACTTCCAGGTGGGACCACCGTCTCCTACCCATTGCTCCTGTGTGTGGGCAGAGTAGGGGAGAAAACCTGAGGACAGGTGTGGTGGGAGGGGATCACGGTGGACACCTGGGGTCCTGGGACCGAGACCCTGTGACCACAGGTGGCAGGGGCAGGTGGGGCCTGTCTGGGCCCTTACCTTGCTCCAGGCTCTGGCAGGCCCTCAGGTAGCGGTCGGTCAGTGGGGGCAGGTCCCACGAAGTCACTTCAGCCAGCACCTGGAAAACACCATGAGCAGGCAGCCGGGCACCAGCGCAGGATGCTCATGCTCAGGCCCGGCTCCTGTCACTCACGTCCTCATTGGTCTGTAGCACATCGGGGACGGGGTCCTGTGGGGCCAGCAGGGCCCCCTCTTTTCTCAGGGTGAGCCTCGGCAGCAGCCCACAGGCCTGGTAGTAGCGCTGGGCAGCTTGTTCGGCCAGCCAGGCCACGGAGTGGGCCTCCTTGCTGTGGGAACAGGGTGCAGAGCGTACGCTGAGGAAAGGCCCTGGTTCCTTCCCACCCCCACTGGCTCAGCATACCAGTGCCCCTGCAGCCCAGCGCCTCCAGCTTCCCTGGGGCCGCAGGACCTGACCCGACCACTCTGGGGCCCTGCTTGTGCTGGTGCAGGGCACCCTGACCTTGACCTGGGCCAGCAGGGGTGGCGCATCAAGTCAAAGCGAGCCCTGGCTACATGTCCCACCTGATGTGCAAACACCAGAGTTCGTGGCTGCCACCAGGTGCCACCTCCTCAGAGCCCACAGGGGTGCAGAGGGACCTGGGGCTGGGAGGGGGCGGGTAACACCTTACCTGTGCGGGACAGGGATGAGGAAGAGACTGTCCTGGACGCGAACGCGCACCCGGATGGGAGGGAGCAGGGCGGGTCCCTGGCAGACAGGGGCAGGGAGGGACAGGCTGATCAGGGAGAACAGTCCCTGCCCTGCCCCACGGCACCCCCGGGCTGGAACTGGCTCTGCCCCAGTCGTGGCACCCACCAGGGGCTGGCCTTCCGCAGGTCTCTCCCCACCCGGGACGCCAGGGCTCTGGGGGGGCTCTGTGGCCGAGTGGCAGTCTCCAGCTGCTCTGCCCAGTGCACTCGAACTCCCATGACGGGGCAGCCGGCTCTGCCGGGCCCGGGGCCTGATGGGGCTCTCATCGCTGCTTGACTCCGAGACATGATGCCGGGTGCTGTGCCCACAGGCCTGGGGCTGAGGCCGGCGGCAGCCCCGGTGGCCGGGGGTCACCAGCAGATCATCCTCCAGCCAGTCCCCAGCCAAGCACTCCTCCTCAGGGATGAGTGCTGCCTGTGGCAGGGGGGCCTCGCCAGGGCCCCGAGATGGGCCAGACTCCAGGCGGCAGCTTCGGGCACTGCCCACAGCTCGAATGGCTGCCCGGTAGGCTGCCCGGCCAGCACCCACTGCCGCCACCTCCCTGTTGCTGGTGTGGCCCGCCATGCAGGCCTTGGCCTGCTGTGCTGGGCCGGAGCGCCGGGGCCTCTTCCGGGTTGGCTGGGGAGCACCCGTGCTGTCCTCGCCCTCCGAGCTGCTGCTGCTGGCCAGCTTGTGCCTGCTCCTTCCAGACCTGGCCACGGGCGGCACTGCTGATGCCTGGGAAACCCTGGCCCTGGCCTGACAGGCCTCTGGGGGTCCCGGGCAGGGACTTGAGGAAGGAGAGGCCTCAGGGTCAAACAGATGGTCCCTTAGGAGGGCTTGGGAAGCCAGGGGGCTGTGGGGAGCTGTGGGAAAGCGGAGCCCACTGTGAGGCATGCCTGGCCCCACGCCACCCCCCCCCAGCCGCTACGCAACATGCCTTTAGGAATCAGGGCCCAGCGGGCTGCTGGACTGGGGAGCAGTGTCCCCAGGCGCAGAAGAGGCCCCTCCTTACGAAGCCAGGGGGCTGTGGGGAGCTGTGGGAAAGCGGAGCCCACTGTGAGGCATGCCTGGCCCCACGCCACCCCCCCCAGCCGCTACGCAACATGCCTTTAGGAATCAGGGCCCAGCGGGCTGCTGGACTGGGGAGCAGTGTCCCCAGGCGCAAAAGAGGCCCCTCCTTACCTCGGCCTGTGGAGGCTGCCTGGAGCAGTCTCTCCATGGCGCCTGCCTTTTCCCACGTCTCGCTGTCCAGGTCCTGGCAGTACAGCTTCACCCACTGCTGCAGGGTCTCCAGAGGGCTGTGGCCCTGCAGGCACCCAGCTGAGAGCAGGCCCAGGGAGCAGCCCCACCCACCGTGGCCCATGCCCACCTGGCCCCTCATCCTCCCTCACCTTCCTGGTTCGCAGGGTGACTGACGCTCCCCGCTCAATGAGCAGCTCAGCCACCTCGAAATGGCCACAATTGAGGGCATCGTGCAGGGGAGTTATGCCTTCACAGCCCTGGCCGCCTGGGTCGTCCACCGCAGCCCCATGGTCCAGCAGGAAGCGGACGATATCTGTGGATCGGGACGTGAGCCTGCTCCCAGAGTCCTCCTCAGACCCCCTCCCTGCCATGTGCTAAACCCCAGGCCGTGCTCACCCAGATGCCCATAGTTGCAGGCCTCGTGCAAGGGCGTCCAGCCGCAGTAGTCCCGAGGATTCAGGGGGTGGCCCTGTGACCAAGGATGGGAAGGAGAGGGCCCCAGGCTCAACGACAAGTGCCTGACCCTGGAGCTCCACGACCTGAGCTGATCCCACGGCCCATTCCTGGTCTGGCCCTGTCCAGGTCCTACCAGAGTGTGGGAGATGCTCCCACCATCAGGCAGGGTCCTAGGGGTGCCTGCAGGCGCTTGTGCAGGGCCAGGAGCACGGCGCCCCCTCCAGCTCCCATGTCCTCCCTGTACCCCGGGGTGGGGAAAGCGGGGTGCAGGCCCACCTGCCTCACGAGGTCCTGGACGCGGCCGAGCTGGCCCTCGATGCAGGCTCGGTGCAGCAGCGTCTCTCCCACGTCATTACGTCGGTGCCACTGTGGGCGGTCACCGGAGGGCGTAAGTGCCCAGACCATCCTGGTGAGCGCCCGAGGGGACACGTGCTCGTCCCGCTGTCCTTACCTTGCCTGTCCTCTGCCGGCCCAGGCCACCATGCAGCTCATCCTGCAGCCGCTGGGACTGGCTGTCAGCCTCGTCATCTGCGAGAACCGGGCCGCCGCCTGCTGAGCCTGGGGCTCCCTGCTCACTGCCACCTGCCTATGGTCTCCGGTGCCCCGTCCTTCTGCCTACCTGACCCCTGTCCACTGCACATTGGCCGCTTGCTCGGAAGGCAGACCCTGCTCTGTGGGCCATGCCCCACCCCAGACCCATGCCACTCCAGCCTGGGAAGAACCTTTGTCGGGCTACGTCAACCCACGTTAAAGACACTTGTCGTTGAGCCTGGGGCCCTCTGCCTGCCCGTCTGCATCCTCCCATACTGCTAGCTCTTTCCAGAACCCCTTTTCCTTCTGTGACCCTCTGTTGAGCAGCACTGCCTAAAGCTGCTGTCCCTCGTCCTCTCTCCCTGGCTCCAGCCACGCCCTGCGAGGTGGAGCCCAAACTCTCCACAGCCCTTGGCCACTCACTGAGAGGTTCTGGAAGCCCCCCAAGTTCAAAACTGAACACGCTCATCCTGGCCTCAGGGGTTGGTCCCCACCCCTCGGCCCCAATCTGCCCTCCCTGCCCCCGGCTGCCCTGGATGGCTTCGGCCCGAGCCCGCCGACTCTCCTTCCGTCCACCTGCCACAAAGCTGACCACGTCAGCTCTCAGGTCTCTCAGGAAGTGCTAAGCCAACCACCCTCACTGTACCCTTTCCCCAGGTCTGAGCCCATGCCACTACCTAAGGAACACCCTCCAGCCCCCCGTGTCGGCCCCGCCAGGAAGGCTTGCTGCGCGTGCCCCCCCTTGGCTCCACTGGCAGTGGTCACCCGCCTTGCATGGGGCTGTGTCCTCCTGTCTCGAACCAGGTGGCACAGGACCAAGGCACATGCGGGCCTCACCACTGTCCGAGAGCTCCACCTCACTGGCCTCCACGGCGTCGCTGTCTTCACCCCCGTCGTCCTCGCCCTCGTCCTCGCCCTCGCCCAGCTCCTGCAGTCTGGCCTCAGTGCCAGGGGCCTCCTGGTGCTGTAGCCTCAGCTGCACGGTGTGGAGGTGCCGCAAGATCTGCCTCTGAGGAGCAGGGGATGCCCAGCTCACGGCCAGGGCCACGGGGATGCTGGCCCCAGAATGGGGGGACACGGGGATGGAGACCGAGGCAACCAGCAAGCTGCGCTTGGGGACCCCAGCTGGGTGGGTGGAGCCGCACCTGCAGCTGGGGCTGCTGGGCCTGTTGGGCACAGCTGAGAGCCTTCTGGAAACATGGTGCCAGCTCCTCATAGGTGTCACCGGCCTCCTCTCGGGAAAGCGCAATATTTAGCCAGGTCTTGGCTTCCTGAAGCGGGAGCAAGAATGGGCTAGTGGCTGCTGCCCACTGCACACAGCTGGTCCAGGCGCCCCGCTGCACCCCGTGCCAGGAGGATGGCAGCCTGGGAATGGAAATGCCCATCTGTGCCCACCACCAGGTGTGGCGGTCCCAAGACACAGGTGTGGTGACACATGCAGAGGGCAGAACTGGGCACAATCACTTCTCACCTCCAGGGCACTGCCATCCCGCAGCCTCAGCTCCTCTTCGTAGTGGTGCACAGCCTGACGGTGGTCTTTCATGTCTCCCAAGGTGGCAGCCAGGGACACGTGGATGATGGCCAGCTCAGGCCCTGGCCTGCCTAGCAGCTCAGCCAATTGCAGCTGAGGAGGCAAAAGTCAGGCCTGGGCCACTCCACAGTGCTGCCCTCCCCTCCCGCTCCGCCCCGGTGCACACCTGCTTCTGGTAGGCCTTGGCTGCCTTGGGGAAGTCACCTGCCTTAGAGAACAGGTCCCCCAGCTGTTCACAGATGCCCATAGCACCTTGAGGGTCACTGGCCTCAGACTCCTCCAGTCGCTGCTGCAGCCGGACGACCGCCAACACTGCCAGAAAGAGCCTCGTGTGAGGGGGCGGCAGGACACAGGCTCCAGCCTGGCTTTGCCGCCCGTTAGCCGAGTCTCTTAGGCAGGACACCCGCCCTGTCCGGGCCCCTCTACCGATGACGGGTCCCCTTCCAGGCTCACCATACTTGAGGGTCTGGTGCACAGCCGCCTTCTGCAAGGGCTTCTGGAAACCCAGCCTACACGCCTTCTTCAGCACTCTTTTGGCAGCCAAAAAATCCCCCAGGTCTTGGAGAACCTGGAGGATGAGGGCAGGTAAGTACTGCAGCCCCCCTCGAGGCCCAAGCCTGCCTGAGGGCCGCGGCGTGGAGGAGCACCTGTGAGATGAGCACGCAGCACTCGCTCTCCATGAAGCCCTTCCTCAGGGTGCGTGCGCACTCCCGGGCCCCCTCCAGGCAGCGCATGGCCTGGGAGTGCTGCCCTCTGCGCCAGTGGATGGCGCCCAGGTTGTAGCGGGCGCGAAACAGGTCCTCGTGCAGGTGGTTCTGCCTGCGGGTGGTAACAGGTGCTCAAAGTGCTGGGGCACTCCCGCTCTGCGCCAGCACGACGGGCAGCCCCGCCGGCCCCTCCCCAGCGCACGGCAGACGTGCCGGGCCTCCTCTGCTAACGGGAGCCCGGCTAACCGCCGCCCAGCTCCTTCCTCCAGGAGCGGGAGACTCAGCCTGTCCTGGGGCCCAGCGGGGAGGCTTACTCAGCAAGAAAGATGCTCTTCTTGAAGTAGCTGTTGCACAGGGCCACCTCCTGCAGGCTCTCAAAGGTCAGGCCAAGGTTGAGGTAGAGCCGGGTCCTCATCTCAGTCAGCTCTCGCCCAGGCAACGTCCCTGGAAGACGCCCCTCTCGATGCTCGGTGCCTCATCCCCGTGGGATCTCCAGCTCTGGACCCTGTGCCCCACCCTCTCTCATGCCTCCTACAATGGTGCCAAGGTTGAGGGTTCCAGGAGCACAGACTGTGCATCTTATCGCTAGCAGGCTTCTAAGAACAGATCTCAACCTCACAAGGAAGTAGAGGGCAGGCAGGTGATGGGGCTGCTCTCCCCTCGGCCTACAGGTCTGGAGGTAGGGGCGGCACTCACTTTGCAGCTTCTCATCCACGATAGCCAAGCTCTTCTCAAAGGCAGTCTGGGCCTGCAGCAAGGCATCCTGTGACTGGCAGTAATCATAGATGTCCAGATGGGTGCGGCCGATGGTGGCCCAGGCCCTTTGCAGCTCGATGTGGTTGGACAGGGAACGGGCCAGCTCCAGGTAGTGGTGCTGGTGCTGGGGCACAGAGATAGTTGCCGTGAGCCAAGCCCCACCTCAAACAAACCCCACAGGCCACCTAACTCCAGGGAGTCCTGATCTTTGCCCAGGAGAGCTCCCTGCTCCTCCGAACCCCCACAGAGCAGGCCAAAGCCAGGCCACACATGCCCCATCTTTTTCATGCCAACGGCTGCCTGTGGGGACACCAGCTCACAGTCCAACAAGCAAGCATCATGACAGACATGAAATGATGAGTCAAAGTTGGCGGGGTTCCTGCACCCCGGCAGCCAAGGAGGGCTTGTGTGGACAGTGGGTCCTGACCACCCAAGTAGTCCACAGAGGCAATTCGAGTAATATGTTCACTAACAGTTTCTGCGGCCAGGCACCCACGAGAGGATGTGGTGCACCCACCCCAGGACCCCACCACTATCTCTGAAGGTGAGACCCAGACAGTGGAGACGGTGCTCCAAGCTCAGAAAGGAACCCCCATGAAGTGCAAAACCAGGAAGGTGGGGTCTGGCCAGCATGAGTGCCAGCTGGGCGCAGCCCACCTGCAGGGCAGCTGAATAGTCCTCCATCTCGGCCAGCCGCTCTCCGATCTTTCGGTGAGCCACGGCGCAGCCCAGGGGGTCGTCGGCGCTCTCCAGGAGCTGCAGCTCCTGCTCGTGCTCCTGCAGGGCCTCCGAGTAGCGGCCTGGGCCGGCGGGGGATTGAACATTTCAGCCTGGGCCGCAGTCGACCAAGAGCCGGCGGGGCGGCGAGCAGCGCGCTCAGCCTGGCTCCCCACCCCCGTCCGCCCAGCAGCTCCCAACCCCTGGGCCCCGGCCCCACCCTGGGCCCCGTGCGAGGCTCGCACCATGGCTGGCCAGGAGCTCCCCCAGCTGGTTGCAGAGGGCTGCCTCCTCCTGCAGCTGCCCGCTGTTCTGGGCCTTGGCCTTGGCCTTGTACAGCTCTGCAGAGAGAAAGAGAAGGCCAGGAAGCTGAGCCCCTCTGCCTGGGCCGGCGAGGCCCGCTCCCAGTTCCCACACTCGGGCGTTCGACCCGAGGACTCACGGCGAAGCTCGCGGTCCACGCTCATGCTGCGGCCGCCGCGCAGGAATCCGGACTTCCCGCGCTCCCACGCCGCCCCGCCCCCCCGGCCCGCGCAGGCCCAGTCCCGCCACTCGGAGGCGGGGCTCTCAGCCTCCGCGCGCGCGGAGGGTCCCGGGAAGAGCCGCCCCGCCACCCGAGGCATCCTGGGAGCTGTAGTCCGGCTGGCGCGGGGTCGGAAGCGCGGCGGAAGGAGGTTTCCTCCCGGAGCTCTTGGGGCGGCCCCGCAGCGGCCCTTGGGAGTAGGGGCTCCGGGGCTCCCGCGCGTTCTGACCTCTCACCACGTAACGCGCTCACAGGTGCGACTTTTCCTGGCGAGCGCAGCGCCCCCGTGTGACAGGAGGTGAGGGCCCGTGATCACACGCGCTGGGCACCTGAGCACGTTCACTGGGTCCCGCGAGCCCCCGGTGTGGCCGCACTGCCGTCGCGTTTGGGGACTCAAACCCTGTGCTGCCGGGGAGGGGCATGCATTCCCAAATGGCCGGAGCCAGGCGCGCCGCCTGAGTCCCCGGAGACTGGGCGCCTGTTACACCTGCAGAGCCGTCCTGCGCTGGCAGGGAAAGGCAGTGCGCCCCGGCGCGAGCGTGGAGACCGGACGGCCCCCGCGAGGTCTGGCGCACCGAGGCCCCGGGCCTCGGAATGCCTGCCCTGTCCCCCACCGCTTTAGGAACCCAACTGTCGCACTCTTGGGGCTCTCAGTCCCCGCTACACAGCACGTGCTGAGAGCCAGGCCCCCGCCTGGCTTCCCCAGAGTCCCAGAGGAGCCCCGAGGGAGGAATAGGGGATGGACGCATTTATTTTCTATGGAACTCGAAACAGACCCAATGGGGTAAAATCCTCGGCTAGTGGACGGACGGCAAGGCCTGCTGGGACGGAGTGAAGTGGAGGGCAGATGAGTCCTTTATCTAAGGAAGGCCGCCCAGAGTCTTTGCCGAGGCCACAGAGATGGGGGTGGGGGCAAAGCCAAGCCTGAGGAGCTGCAGGAGGCTGGAAGTGGGACTCGGTGGCCCTTCTCAAGAGTGCCCCCAGTGAGGCTCGGGTGTGGGAACAGGCTGGTAAGGGTGAGGGTAGATGTGGAAGCAAGGCCACCACAGCAGTCCAGCTTGGCTGAAAAGGCTGAGGGCGCCTCCCCAGAGCCTCCTGAAGGACGTGATTGGACTCCCCTGCAGCGCCAGTGTCCTCAGTCCTGGGGGCCCGATTCCCCTTCAGAGTGGACCCGACTTCTCTGCCTGTTTCCCCACTGATCAGACAGGGCTGTGTATATGAGGTGGTGCTGAGCAGGACCTGGAGGACTGGAGTGGGGAGGCTGGCACAGCCCAGGGAAGCCCATCCATGAGGCTGTCTTCTCGTAAGGAAACAGGCAAAAACATGGCTTGGAATTTTTTTAAGCTATAGTTACATACAGAAAATACGCAAAGAGAACACAGACCACAAAAGCAACATGTAAGTCATTTCCGACAGTGATAAAAACACTTTTCACTCTGCTTTTAAAAAAATTATTTTTATTTTGTAAAGGTCTCACTTTGGGTGAACTGAGAACGTGGTGCTCACAGGGGACGAGAAGGGGAACAGGAGAGGGGCCGGCTTGGCCTGTGCCCGCTAGCCTGCCCCCACGTCTTCAGGGGCTGCCCCTCCCCCCACCGCAGGGCAGGGTGCCAAGACAGCAAGGTCCGGGAGACAGCCCCAGGGACCCTTCCTATCAACATGGATGGACGTCCCCCAGTAAATTGGTGACCCCCAGGGAGGTGCCACAAAGTTTGTGGCACCAGCCCTTGGCAGCAGCTGAGATACTACAATTTCCCAGGGTGCCTGACGGCCCCAGGCTATAAGGTGACAACCATCACAGCGTGGGGGCTGTGATGGGATGCATTAACAGCCGTCTTGGGCACCCCAGATACACATACCCTTGGCTGCAGGAAGTAGTGGGCTGTACCCCTGGCATGTAGCTGACACTGGTACCTCAAGAGCCCAGCCCCACCCATCCACCCGCTCACGCAGGGTGGGTGACATACCTTCACCTGCACACAGAAAACTGTCGTCCACCCTGCCCCAGCCCGGGAAAGCCACCAGGGGCTTCCCTCTGCAGACAGCCTTTCACGCACACACCCAAACACAGGCAAGCAGGGCAAGCCTGCACCAACCTGGGCTCTGCTCACAACACCCTCACTTGGAAGTCCAGGAACTCTATAGAGAAACGTAGAGATGCAGTGACACACACAGCGAGACCTGACACGCATATACCTGTCACTCTCCGTGTCCACCAGGCAGGGGCCAGCCCGAGGGCAGTGGGCCCTCACACCAGGGTGTGCCCAAGTGCAGAGCACTGTGGGGGCTGGGGTGGGTTCTTTCTCTGAAGAGGGCAGGAAACCGAACACCTCACACCACCTGGTCCCCTCAGTGGCCAGGCCATCGGCCTTGCAGGAGGGGACCCTGAAGAGCCCCATGCACTGGGCTTGGAGCAGGAAGCCAAACTGGCTTCTTAGGGGAACTTGGGGAGCCACCCTGGCGGGAGGACTGACACCAGGTCTCAGCCCAGAGGCTGGCCAGACCCGCAGCTGCGCTGCCCACTGAGCCCTGCATGGCGATGGGTCCTGCGTGCAGGGAAGGGCGGCGGGGGCTGCTCCAAGGCACAGGGTGGCCTGGCCAGGGGCGAAGGAAACGGTTCTTTGGTATTGAAGAAACAAAAAGCTATTGCATTAGAGCTGCGTCTCCTACGCAGAGCAGGACAGCTCTCCAATAGCTCCAAGGGCCCAGGAGTGCACGCTGCAGCCGCGGGGCCGGGCTGGAGGGTGGGGACAGCTCTCCAACACCTGCGAGGGCCCGACCACCCCGAGGTGCACACACGGGGCATGTGCACTGCAGCCCTGGAACCTTGGGGTCCTGGGGCTTTGGGGGGCAGCCAAGTCAAAGCTGGGAAGAGACTGCCTCTCAGGCAAAAAACCACGCTGCCCAGGCGCTGACCTTCACGGTAGACCCCTGGATTGAGGGCCAACAAGCTGGTCCATGAGAGCAGCTCAGTGATCGACCCCCTCAGACCCTCAGCTGCCTCACCAGCCAGGGCTCCCAGAGCTTTCCTCACTTCCCGGCCAGGCTCTATATAGAAGAGAGATTCTCTCTGGCTAAATTTGCATGACTTACAGAGTAGCCTGCAAAGAGTTTCTCGTTTTTTCCTGGGAAGAGAATTTCACCCTGCATTCCGAAACATCCGCTGAGCCCTGTGGAGTCCTGGCCCCCTGTGGTGGTTGGCGGCTACGCCGAGGCTGCTGGGAGACCCCGACCCTGCCTACTCCCCTGCCCAGGCTCGAGATGGAGGGGACAGCATCTCCAAGTGTCCTGGGCAGCCCCTGGAAGTCCAGTGACAGGGACGGGCTGGCTCCGACCCCCAGGCCAAACCAAAGCTCCCGCGCTGTGCCTCGAACAAACCAGAAAGTAGGAAACAAGGTGCCTTTTTAATCGCAATCAAATATGCCGTCTGATGTCAGTGCCCCGAGCCCGGCCCAGGAGCCGCTTCGCCGAGTGGTGGGGGCCCGGCAGGTCCCCTGCGCTGCGCCTTGCCCTGCCCCAGGCCGTGGGCTCCTCTGCAGGGTCCCAGCCTCCAGTGACCTGGACAGGGAGGTGGGGCGGGGGGCGTGGCGGTGGGCGCTCACAGCTGCGCGCACACATGCAGACTGCCCCAGTGTCACCGTGTCCCTCCGCCTCTGTCAAGCTGGTAGGGCGGCACTGCGGGGCCGCTGCTGGGGGGCTGTGGGCAGCACGGCGGCCGCCTACTTCTGTATCTGGAACAGGAAGAGCCGCAGGTTGATGTTCTTGGCAGCCAGCAGCTTGTTGCACTCCACGGAGTCGACGATGGGCAGCGGCACGTAGTCCGTCTCATTGCTGTCGTTGGTGAAGACGAAGTGGTAGATGACGGGGCTGATCTTCACATCATCGTACGGGCCCTTGAGCAGCAGGAAGGAACACTCCAGGGGCGCCGTGACCTTGCTCTTGAGGAGCAGCTGGAAGGAGAGGGTGCGCTTGCACGAGAGGTTGGGGTTGCGCTCTGAGTCGTTCACACGTGCCTTCAAGACCCACGTCTGGCTCAGCACCGTGAACCGCGGCGTCTCGTAGTACAGGCGTGTGATGAAGTCGTCCGTGCGGTACGGCCGGAACTGGACCTCTGTGGAGACAGACAGGCCGGGAGGGGCCGGCAGTCAGTGTGGGCTGGGCTGGGGGGCCTTCCGGCCAGCTAAGGACATAGGCTCAGCTGGGGGGGAAGGCAGCTTCCCAGAAGGACACGAGCTCTCCTTGTCACGAGGCAAACCAAACGTGACTATGGCAAATGGCGGGCGGCGCACATGCGTTCTGGGGAAAGTGACACACATCAGCTGCGGGGGTCCAGAGGCTGCCACCCGCCGGACCCCACCTGGCCCTTGCCCACCCGCCCCAGGGGCTGGGTAAGCAGACACACAGACAGGATGCAGTTCTGAGAACAAGCACGCTTTATTGGTTCCGATACAGAGCCTCCAGAAAGCCGGCGGAGGCGGCTGCGTGGTGCTCGGGCCTCCAGGACCGGAGTCAGGGTGCGGGCTCGCCGATGCAGCCTGGCCGTCAGTCGGTGGGCAGCTGCCGTCACACAGTCCTCTCAGCACAGCCCGGGCCACAGCCAGCTTGTCCCTCCACGAAGGCGGCCAGTCCTTCCTGCGTGTGTGGGGCTCCCTGCCCCGCCACTGCCCAAGTCCTGACGCCTCGGCCAGGCCTGGCCTGTTTGTGCCGTGGCGCCCACCAGGGAGACTGAGGCTGCGGCTGACCAGGGAGCATGGCCTTCTGCTGCTGAGGCTCCCAGGCTCTCAGCCTCTCCGACCCGTGCAGGCCCACACTGAGCCAGGTCCAGTCCAGGCAGCACGGTGCAACTGGCTGCCATGACTGCCCTTGATGCTCTCAGCTGGCCACCTGGCAGGGGCTGGGCAGTCGAGGGCTGGAGCCTCCCTGAGCAGCCCCAGCATCAGCAGGCACTCCTTGCTGTTCTTTGGATCTAGACCGGGCTCTGGCATGGCCCCTGCTCTCCGCACGTCCGAAGGCACTGTCGGTGGCCAGGGGAGCCTGTGAGATCCAGCGGGCCAGCTGCGGTCCAGCCTGCCTGTCCCTGGGTGTCCGCTCCCAGCTCTGCCTTTCGAGCTGGGCGCCCTCTGCTTGTTCTGCAGCCCTGCCCTGAGCCTCTTCTGGCCTCAGGAGGCCGGTGGCCCCCACAGTGACCGCAGGCAGGACCCAACGTGACAAGTGTTCTTCTGGCCCCCAGCTCCCGGGCCCCCTGAGACACCCACCTTCTGGTTAGACCCCAGAATGTCCCAAGTCTGTGCAGCCCCACACAGTGAGGACACCACCTTGTCGCTGGGGTGGGGAGGACAGGTGGGAGGGGCTCCGTGTGAGCCATGCAGGCGCCCCTGGGATCCTGCCCTGGCCCCTCCCCTGCTCAGCCTCTGGTCCATCTTCTCCCCTGAGGTGCACCCCCCCATTCACCAGCTCTTCTAGAGCCCAGCCATCCGGTGTGGCCTGCGCCCACTGCCCAGAGCCTGGGCTCCCCAGGCTCCCAGCCGCTAGCCCCCCACCTGTACAGCATGCAACAGGCAGCGGGGCACCTCACCTGTGTAGCCGATCTTCTCGAAGCTGAGCAGGCTGAAGATGCTGTTGTACAACTGCATCTCCTTGCGGTGGCTCTGGTCCATCTCGTCCAGGATCTCCATCAGCTCGTTGCCCGTCTTGGTCGGGTGGGCGCACGCGGCCTCGTGCACTGTCAGCTCGTGGAAGGGGCCGTGCCACGGGCAGCCGATGCGCTTGTACTTGCACTGAGTCACCCTGGGGAGGTGAGCACCACAGTCAAGGCCTGAGTCCCACGGGCCTTTGCTTAGCTGTGCTCACGCATGAGCCCCTCCCTCAAGGACATAATCAGCGTGTGCCAGGCCCCAGGAAGAGAAGGCGCCATGCAAGCTGTGGGCGCCTCGGCCACTGATACCCACTGCTGTGGGTTGTTTCTCCTGCTGGGTAGTGGTGGCTGCCAACCACGGTCCTGGCCTCGGCAAAGCCTGATCCAGGAGCAGCATGGGGGCCTGGGCAGGGGTGCCAGTGCAGCCTCACATCAACTGCCTCGAGCTCCTGAACTGGCCACACTTGCCTGGGACCGGGGATGTCGCGGACGGCCTCTAAGAGACTACCACACAGCCCCAGGTGCAGACCCAAGCCCCCACCCCGTGTCGGGCCCCAAGGCCCGGTAACGAGGCCCAGCCAGAGAAGCCCACAGGAGGGGTGGCCCCCGGGCCCGATGGTCACCTGTCCTGGCACTCCTCTTTCTGGTGCCTCTCCAGAAGGGAGCGGGGAAATGGGCGCAGGCAGAAGCCGCACTCGGAGGGCAGCTCGCTCACGGCCTTCTCCACGGCCAGGTTGCGGCAGCAGAGGCTCTTGCTGATCTCACAGCGGCAGTTGGGGCACGTGGCCTGCTCCTCCTTCAGCCGGGCATCTGCTAGTAGGTGGATAAAACAGCCAGCGCACATCAAGTGACCGTTAGTGCACTGTGAAGAAGCAGAGGGAGACGGAGCTCACAGACCTGCGGGACGCGCACGCCCGTGCTGCCCGCCAGCTCCAGCCAGGCCAGGCCAGGCCATCGCGAGGGGTTCGTGCCGCAGGAGGGACTACGATGAGGCGGCGTGGCGTGCTGGCGCTTAGCACACACAGGGCCGCTGCTCAGGAGAGACAGGCTTCCCAGTAGCACCTACGGCAGCCGCTGGGCCTCTGGGGAGGCAGGTGTCGCCAGGTGGCCCCCGCTAGCTGACAGAGGTTCCGGCTCTTCACTGAGGCAGGCCCGCTAGAGCGACTGACCACACTGGGGCTTGGAGCCGGGCCTTCTCCCATCCCAGGGGTCAGGGACCGTCCTGAGTCCCCTGCAGGCCCCGAGTTCAGGCTACCCACAGAAACGTGGACTTGTGGCCCAGCACAGTAACAGCATGTGGCCAGCGGCTGTTGAGGGGGCAGCAGACAGTATTCCCCATGCCGAGGCAGTCATGCCCTCTCCTGGCCTTCAGAAGGGCCGCTCGTGCTGGTGGCAGGGGACTTGGTTCACATCGACCCCCAGCCTGGCCCCTGGCCTCTCCCCTCTGGATCTCCTTGGCCAGCACAGGTGAAAAGGCAGCTGCCACCCACCCGGTGACAGTGGTTAGCTGCAGGGGCCTTCCCCAGACCTGGTTGTAGAGTGTGGCAGTGGGGCAGCCAAGCTGGCCTGGGACAGGGGCACGTGGGCGGTGCATGCCTGGGGGAGGTGCAGGGCACAGCAGGCAGACACGTGGGCGAGTTGGCCCAGTAAGACCTGGGCCCTCCCTTTCCGAACCTCAAGACCTGAGGGCCAGACATTGCCGTCAGCAGCTCGCCCCTCACAGTGGGGGACCCTGCACGTTGCCAGCCCAACTCCTCTCTGGGGTGGTCCTTCACTGGTTCCACACCCCACCCCAGCACCCACCTGGTGCTATGAAGTGGGATACCCAGCAGACTGTGGGCCTGGCTGCCGTGTAGGGGGAGGGGAGACCCAGGCAAGGGGCACGGTTGTCCTGGTGGTCTCAGAGCCTGGGAACACCGGGGCAGTGTGGGGACCTTGGGCTGGGCTCTGTGCTGCGGGCTGCCGAGGCCTAACTGGGTCTCCATTTGCAGAGACCCCTCTGGCTGGCCAAGGGTGAGCGGGCAGGCAGCAGCTGGCCTGGGCGTGCCAGCCATGGCAAAGCTCCAGAAAGCCACTTGGCCACAGGCTTCCCTTGGGGTCCAGGACCCTTTAGAGAAGGAGGGTCACAGGCCACTGCCAGGCCACACCCACACACGTAGGTCCCCTGCTGGAAGCTGAGTGGGCTCTTAGCAGCCACGGGCTGGGCTGAGGGTCCAGGGAGGGATAAGGAGTAACAGTGGGCAGGGCCGGGGACAGAGGCCTCGCTCACATGTGCACACCCCAGGTAACCTGCACCCACACCTCAACTCCTCAGTCAGGTCAGAAACTAAGGTATGTAAGATGAGGAAGGGGAGCCGGCTGGGCTCAGGCTTGTAGGACAGGGCCTGGCAGGGGCCGGCCAGCACTAGCTCTGGACACACGGCTGGTTGGGATGAGTGAGGCCTGCCCATGGGAGAAGCAGGCTAGAAAAGCAGTCTGCCCTGTCTACCCGCCAGGGCTCAGCAGAGGAGCCAGAGAAGCAGTGAGCAGGGGGGAGGGTGGGGGACCCCCTGGGAGGCGCAGACCAGGGGCTCTTCCCACAGCCCCACCAGGCCCTAGCCTTGGGGGCGGGGGAGGGGAGGGTGGTCGGCTGCTGCTTCCAGGGAGCCAGAGGGAAGCAGCACAGGCCACCAGCCACTTACCGCAGGAGGGACTGCAGGCCAAGCCACATGGCGCCACGCCCACTGAGGGCCATCAGGACACCAACCCCCTCCCTGGATTGGGGCCCCACACCGCCTGGGCAAAAAGACAGCATGCTCCTGGGTCTCATCACCTGGCTTCTCTTCTGACTCTGGGTGGCCCAGCCAGAGTGTGGGCCCGAGTATGACACTCAAGATGGAATCCTGGGACCTCCTGAGGGACACTCAAGGCTGCCAAGTATGTGACTGCTTTTCTCCCAGCACTGCCCAACCTGCACCCCAACCCCGCAGGCCTCTCCTTGGGTCATGGGGGCCCGGCCACAGGAACACCTGTGCCCCTGGGCCGGTCCGTGCCCCTTCTTCCCAGAGCCTCCAGACTCTGCAGACTCAAGTGGTGCGGCAGCCCCTGGGAGAGGCAGGCCCACTGCCCACCCTCTACAGCTCGGCTCTAGTCAGCAAGATGCCCCAAGTGCTGCTGGCCTGGCCAAGGGACAAGGTGCCATCCACATGCAGCCAGCCCCTTACCCGCTATCCAAAGGATGCTCTCTAGTGGGCAGCCGGTGGCTGGCCCAGACCCGGCGACACCCAACCCAGGCAGTCTGTCCGTAGCAGGGCAGTTGCCATGCTCCAGACCCCACCTCACCAGCAAGACCCCAGGTCTACACACAGGCCAGGCCACAGCGTCACGCAGACCTGGCCCCTGCAGCAGCTGGGATGGACCACGCCTGCCCCAGAAGCTGGGCTCTAGAGGACTGCGAGTGCTGGCCACACGCCCAGCCCTGGATGGACAGTATCAGCCAGGCAGGGCCAGGCCCCCTAGGTCTTGGGCGCTCCGAGCAGCAGCTCCCGCAGCGCTCAGGCCAGGCTGCCTGGGGGCCGAGAGTGGGGCCCACGACCCAGGATGATGTCGCAGGGCTGCAGATCAGCAGCAGCATGAACTTGGGCCAGTCACTTCCCTCTCTGGGCCTCGATTTCCTCGGGCACAAAAGGCAATGAGGACAGGACTGGCCTTGTCACGTACAGAGGAGGTGGGAGGACATGGGTGGCAGTATCGCTCGGGCCCCAACACATAGTGGGCACAGAACAAACACCCACCACAGTAGTCACCACACAATGGGGCCCGGCCAGCCCCTCACGAGTCCCCCACCTGAGAGGCCTCAGAAGGGACTCCAGGACAGGCCTGTGATTTCAGCAGCCCTCCTTTGTCCCTGGGCCCCCACCCCCAGGACATTACCCAGCAGCCCCTCCCTCTGCCTGGCCACATGCAGCTCTCAGGGACAGCTTCTCCCTGGGCTAAGGGGGCCGAATGGACTGTACAGACTCATGAGGAGCCCTGATCCCCAGCCCTTGGGCTGGAAACAGGTCTTAGACGTGTCTCCCAACTTCCGGAAACCACACCGTGGTCAAGAGGCTAGGAGTGCATGGTCCCCTCAAACCGTGGCCCCTACATGACACCCCACTCTAGAACAGGCTGTGCCACCCTCCAGAGCATAGCTAAGTGCCACCCGGCCCAGCTGGAGGGCCGCCCACCCCCATGGTAGGCCTGAGGCCTCCTCCTCCTTAGTCAAGGGGCTGGGAGGGACCACGCAGCCTCTGAGGCGTGCAGCTGTTCCGGGTAGAGCTGTGACTCCAAGCACCCACGGGACTTCAGTGTGGAGCCAGGGCAGGTGGCCCTGAGGTCAGGCTGCCCAGAGAGCGAGGACGAGGTGGAAGCCCGTCAGGCTTCACTCAGAACCCAAGTGCTGTCTGGGTAACACGTGCGGAACGGCCAGCGCAAGAAACTTGACCCCAGGGTCTGGGACCCTCCTCTCTGCCCTGACTTTGGGCACCATACAGGTGATTGCCAAAGCTCTTCTTCACTTCAAAACATGAGCCAGCCACAGCCGGGAGTGGCCAGGGAGCTGGGGAGCAGACCCCGACCCTAGGGAGCGCAGGCCCACCAGCACTGCTGATACAGCACTCGGAGGGCACGCGCAGTGCTGGGCATGCTGACAAGGCCTATGCCCATGCTGGTCAGAGCTTGGGGAGACAGGGCCACCCCTGCCTCCTACCTTCCTCACCTCAAAGCATGAGCCAGCCACAGCCGGGAGTGGCCAGGGAGCTGGGGAGCAGACCCCGACCCTAGGGAGCGCAGGCCCACCAGCACTGCTGATACAGCACTCGGAGGGCACGCGCAGTGCTGGGCATGCTGACAAGGCCTATGCCCATGCTGGTCAGAGCTTGGGGAGACAGGGCCACCCCTGCCTCCTGGGCCTTTCGCTGACGTAAGTGCCAATCAGGTAGCAGTCCCCTAGGGCCAGGGCCTGAGCTGAGTCCTGACAGAGACAGGAGGGCACAGGGGTGGAAGGCACAGCAGGATGCACCCAGCACCCCCACAGGGCACAGTGGCAAGGACCCCATGCTGTCATAACCAGGGCCTGAGTCCAGAGCAGCGGGGAGGGATGGACATCCTATAGCTTGGGGACACTGCCTCAGCAGGGCCTATGAGGAAGAGCAAGAGAGGGCACCCAGGTGGAGAGGGCACAGCAGCTACGGCCGGAGGAGCAGGGCCCAGGTCTGCGGCCGGGAGTGGGCGGCACAGGGGCCAGAAGGCCAGCAGGGCCACGCTCAGAGGCTCCGCTGGCTGAGAACCAGTGAGGGGTGGGGGAGCTGCGCGGCCCCTCCCTTCAGGCGCCAGTCTACTTGGGGCCTCGGCTGGCACCAGCCTGGTCAGGACCAAGTGGAGAGCACACTGGGCCTCATGTAAAGAAGGCAAGGAAGCCTGGAGGGAGGGCAGGGTCGGGCTACGGCTGCGATGCTCCAGGCGGCACCGAGGCTTTTTGCCCCAGAGAGGGCACTCCCTCAGTAGAGAGGCTGGGTGACACTGCTATGACCACAGGGCGGCATTGAGAGCTGCACACGCTGCCGGTCGCCCGCTCCTGCGTGAGTGTCCCTGTTGCTCCACCTGGGTGCTTCCCCCAGCGCCTGCCTGGGACTCCAGGAGGTGGCCGTACACCTTGTCAGGCCAGTCACCAAGGCCACACCTAACACCCAAATGAAGAACATAATAGCCAGTACCCGCTGTGCCTGCTCTGGCCCTGACCTGGCCTGACGCAGGCTACAGTGACAGCCATTTGCGTGAGTCGGAAGCCAGAGCACGTTTCCCAGCACAGGTGTACAGCACTATCAGCCAGGGCCTGAGTCCAGAGCAGGTGGATGAGCCCACCCGGTCAGCCCGTGTCTGCTGAGGCGAGTTCTTGCCACCACCAAGGCCTCCCTGCTGAAATGGAGGTGGGGTCTGGTGGCCAGGGGGCGAGCTCTTCAGTGAGCGTGCACCCAGCCCACTGCACCCCCATGGAGTCACTCCCATGGCACCAGGGCTGGACACAGCCCACCTGGACCAGCATGACACAGCTCAACTAGGAAGACCGGCGGAAGTGGAGGGGCCAAGTCAAGGCCAACAGGTGACGGCGGCAATGGGCTTCGACCAGGGACATGAAGAAGGTTCTGTGCCCACCCGTTTCGGGGCAGCATGTGGAACCTATGCTGTCATAACCAGGTCCTTCTGGAAGCAAACCCAGCTCTAGTGTCGACCAGGCATTAGCCCTTTCTGAGCCCCATCCTCAACGTCCCCACCCAGGGTCGCTGTGGGGCTGAAGAGGGACGTGGCGTGGGCAGCAAGCCGCCAAGAAGCCTTCCCTCCTTCCCCTGCCCCTCTCGGGCCCCTCCTACCCTGGCCTCATGCTCACGTGCCCCCAGCCCATGGCAGCAATTCCAGCGGCCACAATGAGTTCTGACCCACGACCGGGCTGGTCAGCACTCCCTGAGCCAGGGCCCTTCCACTGACCACAGGGCCCAGAACTTTCTCAGGCCTCCAGGGATGGGAGGGAGCCACTCCTCACTGAGGCCCAGGTGTCACTGGTGGGAATGGGCTATGGAGGGGTCCAGCGCCAGAGCCCGCAGCTCAGTGTCACACCTCCCCTGGCTCCACAACGCGTTCCCAGGTAAGCTGCTGAGCAGAGCCCGCTGAGCGGAGCCCGCTGGGCTGCGGGGAGGGCCGTGGTAGGGCTGTCCTAGTGCCCTCACTCGCCGGCACAGCTGCCCAGCTGCCCGCTCCTGGCAGGACAGAGCTCAGCACCCAAGGCAGTGTGGGCCAGTTTGAACCAGCCAGGCTTAGAGGCCTGGTCACCAGCTCTGGCCAGAGGCTGAGTGGACCAGGAGCTAGCACCATGTGGCCTGTCCTCATGCCAGGTCCAGCTCCAGCCCACTTGCCAGAGAGGAAAGTGAGCAGATCTCTGAATTCCTCTGGGAGCCCCTACCATTGGCTTGGCCTCCTGGGTTGTCACTCGAAGCCCAAAGAAGAGTTCTCCCACCTGGAAGGATCGAAAGGTCCTGGGCAAGGAACAAGGGGCCGGAGAGACGACAAGTCCTGAGGAACACCCCAAGGCTGAGTGATGAGAAGCATGACTCAGGGGCACTGGGCCAGGAGCTGCCCAAAGGCCAGCAGGGTTGGCTGAGAGCCAGTGCCTTCTCCCCAAAGAACTCTGCTCACTTCCCCACCAAAGCCTTTTCTCTCCGCTCTCCAACACCCAGGCACACAGGAGTCCTCATGGCACAGCAGCAAGGATTTAGAGATCCACAGGGTGGAGAAATTTGCAACCCAGACTAGCCCTACACCGCTTCCTACAAGAATAGCCTTCACCCATGGCCCCCCAGTTTGAGTAGAGGCAGGGGAACGAGGCCCCAGCAGCCACGTCCAGTTTCTGTGAGTGCAAAGGAAAGTAGCCAGGAACCTGCCTCATTCTTTAAAAGGACTCTGGAGGAACAGGGTACAGAGATAAGGGGTTGAGGTGGACAGAGACAAAGAAGAAGGTAGGACACTAATTCTGGGGCCAGAATATAGTCCCTGCCGCTACTTGGTGCCAGTGAAAGACCCACCTGGGCCAGGTAACCTGTCTAACGGCCCTGAGTTGGTTAAGGACTCGGACCAGCAACGATGCTGGATTCACACTGGAGGAGGTGGGCAGACCTGGAGTGCTGACAACTTAGAACGCCTGGTGTGGGTGAGGCAGGGTGGGGTGGGAGCCTGGCCCCAGGGCAGAGCAGTCCAGAAGCACAGGGTGAGACTGGGACTCGAAGGGACCCAGACTGTGGGCTTGACGCAGATGGTTCATCCAGACCAGGAATGAAGGAGAAAGATGGGGAGGGCAAAGAGGCGATCCTCTCCCTTCTCCAAGACTCTTCCAGAAAGTGAGGCAAAGAGGATTCTTCCTCTCGGGTGGGAGGAGGGGTGCAGGAGGGGTGTGAGGACAAAGATTGGGGAGTAACTGCTTAGAAAACAGAGAAGGACCTCTTGAAGGAAGAGGGAAGACAGGGAGCTCGGAAACGAGTGGAGCAAGCCCTAAGAGGGAGGGGCGCGGGGGCATCTGTCTCCAGCTTTCTCTGGGGTCAGCTTGAGAAGGTGGGCTGGGGAGTGCCAAGAGAGAGCAAGGGGAGCTGAAAAGAAGCATCTACCTGGGAGACAGACTCGGACCGGGAAATAAGGGGAGTCCGAGCAAGAAAGCAGGGGTTCAGAACAGGAAATAAAGCCCTGAGAAGAGGAGGAGCTTCTGAGCAGGCGCCGAATCCCGACCGCTGGGCCCCGGGGCTCGGCCGGCCGGGCCAGGTCGGGGTCGGGCCCGCGGCCCTACCTGGTACACGGAGGCCTTGGGCAAGTCCAGGCAGACGGTGCAGCACAGCACCGAGTACAGCCGCTCCTC